AGTGTTCCTTGTTGTTGCATCTTAAGTTTCCAGTGTGCATACACACACAAGAAATGATTAATTTCCAGCTGCATCTATTTTTTGCCTGAATGAACATGTCAGGATTCTGATCTACTGACTTCTACAAGCCAGTGCTCCTGCCATCTCATCTTGCCTCTGTATTTACATGTGCTAACCATGGCCCCAAATCTTCTTTGGGCAAGTAATTTATGGGATAGATTTCCTCTCTCCCATATTTATATTTGCCTAGAAAACAGCACCCATGTATTTACACCAATTTTACTCATGTTTTAGAAGTGTCTGGCTTGTTGAAGGATTTTTGCATAACTCCTTGTGACAGAACCAAACATCTTTATCTCCTTCCCTGGGAACTGTGAAACCTGAACTGCCTTTAATACAACATTCTCAAGTTGAGTTAGAATCTGAACTCCAAACCAGTTAACTCAAGTGCTGTCTGTGTTTGTTTTAAATTAGGTTTTAATTTGAAATGATAGTCCAGTAACTTTCATGTGTTGTCAAATAAGGATTTAACTATTAAATTCTATAATCAGATACAGGGACTGAGTTGGAAAATACAAGTCATGGATAAAATGTATATATATGTGTGTGTGTGCATGTGTGTGTGTATACATTATATATATGTTATGTGTGTCTGTGTGTGTGTGTGTGTATATATACATAATCAATGTGGAGATGCATACTTTTTTACTATAATGTGAAATACCAGCATCCTTTCACCGTGGATGTACAAGAATGGCATCTTCATTCAAATAAGAAAACTGTTCAATATCAAATGCTTTATTTTTCTGTAATTCCAATTTAAACAAACAAGTAGCAAAATAATTATTATCTTATTATTATAATACTAATTACAGAATGACTCGTGAGGGTTTTGGTATGCACTATCCCATAAATCTTAGCAGGCAGGCACAGCATACAAGCATTTTTTACTATTGTATCTGTAGTGAAAGTTAGCCTTTTGTGGCACTTAATTAACTACAGTGTTACTTACTGGGATACTAAATATGAAACAGTAGATAAAACTAACATATCAAATATTATACAAGATAAACATACTATTATTATTTATAT